AGATGGAGAGCGTGCTGGGCCGCGTCGTGGTGTGATGTGGCGGGCGTGGTGGGCGGCGCTCTGGCCATCATGCTGGTGCGGGCGGAGGCGCACGCGCGTCACCACAGCTCGGCCTCCAAGGTGGTCCTCGAGCCAACGTCGGACCTTTCCGCCAACCTCACTCGTGATATCAGTCAGTGTAAGTTCCTTCTGTGTTAAACTACTCCTATTATCTAGTTTGTTTGCGTTGCCATCTTCTTTTCGCCTGAAATATGGCCACATAACATCCATATTTACAAGACAACTGCGCCTCTTCGTGTGCATGAGTGTGTTCCGTGGTTTATCATCCATCTTGAACCCTTAGCCTCCCTTCCACACCTTCGCCCAAACACATCTTGATGACTCTTCACAGGGAAAAAGTCCCCTCTTTCTCACTCGTATATCAAGGTCTTTCCTGTCTCCCTTTTCTCCTCTCTTCTCAAAGGGGAGCTTCGTTGTGATTAATTAATGAGATTAACTTCGCTTTAGTACCTGGATCAACATTTCGCTCGCGCGCACCTCGTCAGGCAACACCCTTCTCGCGCTCCGCTGGAGATTCTCACTGCTCGCACTCCTCAGAAAACCCGCGCCGCTTGCACGCCTCAGAAAACTCCCACTCCTCGCACTCCAGAGTAAACTCCCACTCATTAGCTGTCGCTCGCACTCCCCAGCCATCGCTCACCAAGTTTTCTTCCTCTCACACTCCCCGGGGATGTGTCATTCTCCCACGAAGGCAGAAGTTTGTAGTACGCGAAGGTACAGCTTCAAAGGCAAAGAATAGACACCAAAATTCCACTTAAACTATTACATTCAAACTCTAAACTAACTTCTGGGTAAATTAGGTGATTGTATGATGATGAAAAAATACAATCGTAATGATAATGATACTAGTGATAAGAACGATGTATTTCTAAATAATATCAATCATAATGAAATTAAGAGAGAATGATAGTGCTAAGGGGTCATCCATTATTTTAGTCATTACCACGAGCGTACGAACCGTATGGGGGGGGGGGGGTTAAAACCAGGCGTACACTTTTTTTAGTGAAAAAATGATCGTCAATGGGCGAATCGGCGGCCATGGTTTAAATTTCGCGCCACGTCGGTGTTGCTAGCAGGGCCGGCCGATTTTCCATAGAAGCATTTCTGCCGTTTTCTAATCATTAGATGATTAAGAAAACGGATATGAATATTAAAATTGAACCATACACTATCATAAACGGATGAATATTAGGTTACAGTTACAGTGCGTGGCGTTACTTTATGCACTGCATAAGACAATATACAATAGGTACATTATTAAACCAATAATATAACGACATTCAACAAAAAACACCCACATCTCTTTATAGAAAATTTATTAGATGTATAAGAAGAAAATACGACATTGAACTTGTAAACTTGATTTATCTAAAACGTATATGACTATTCATAGGGAGTGTGCAGCAGGTCAAAAGGTTTAGTCACTCTATGGGACTGTGACTCTGCCTTTGATGATGGCCAGTTGGAAGACCCAGCTGAAGTGACCTCGGATGAAATTTCCGCCGCGATGACGTTCAGTCTGCCACATCATGTCAGTTCATAACAGGATGGTTTCTGCAATTTTTTATGTGTGATTTACTTGAACTTGGGAAAATATTTCACTGTTGCTTTGAACACTTTTCGTTTGCATCAAACTATCTGTAGTCATAAAAAAGAACAAAAATACAGCCTATGGAAAAAAAATCCGTAGGCTCTTTGTATTGTTCCGTCATTAGACATGATTTTAATACAGTGAAAAAGCAATATAACAAGACATGGTTTTATTTTGAATTCATTTATTCTTACAATCACAAAACAAGAATTCACATAAAGATAAGAAGAGCTTGATCCATCATCATTTTTCGCCCGCTAACGTACACTTTAATGGGGGAGGGTTTGCTCAAAAGTCTACGCTTTGTAGACTCGTGATAATAATGAAAATTATGAAAGACTCCTAAGGCTTTACCAACATCATATGTCTCATGAACCCTTGTCACTTGTCACCAGCGTAATCCAGCTTTGCCCAAGCCACTGTCATGCAAATACATCAGTTTCGGATTACGAGCGAACGCAAATCAAACCATCAGGTCACGTGCAGTATTGCTTTGCCGTTCGCCCATGCACCGCGGCCGGTCGTTCAATTCAGTTTATTGCACTACCAACGACCCCCGTGCAATCGTGCATCATGGCTACGTCTTGGTGCTGCTGTTACTTGCCTTGAAGCCCTGTGAAAAGGAAGCTTACCTTTAAAACTTAAGCTCTCGTTTAATTAATCTGATTTATCGCAGCTTGCTTAGCCTAGTAACCTACAAGGGTTTATGCTTTCCCAATCCACTGTAATATAACATAAACTAGTGCAGTGTAAAGCGTTCTTATCAAACTAAAACTTACCAATACAATAAATCCGTTAAACCAAACTTAACCTAATCAATTCCAGCCCAATTAACTCTAATCAGATCGTAAACAATTATCGCAAACCGCATCAATCTAACCTCCAATCTAAGCCAATCTCGGCTCCCGAACTCCAACTCCAGCCTCGCCCACTCCGATCTAATCCCTCCAACTCCAATCCAGCCTCGCCCACTCCGATCTCTCCGATCTAATCTCAACTCCAATCCAATCTAAACCAACTCCGATCTAATCTCTCCAAGCTCCAATCTCAACCAACTCCTCTAACCTCCAACCCAACCTCACCACCTCCAATCTAATCTCTCCAAGCCAACCTCCAATCCCACCTCGCCTCCTCCAATCCAAGCCAGCTGCGAGCGCACACAGCAGTACCGCCGGAAGGACTCTCTCTTGAAGCTTCCTCCCCGAGCACCGTGTGTCGAAGTCTTCCTCCTCCCCCCTCCTCCCTCCCCCCCCTCCCCCCTTCCGAGCCCCAGTTCTGTCAAGCCTCGGGGTTCGGCGGCGCAAGGTGTGTTGGTGGACATGGGGGGGATGGGGAGGGGGGAGTTGGCATGGGGAATGGGGGAGGGGGGTTGGTATGGGAATGGGGGAGGGGGGGAGACTTAGCATGGGGAATGGGGGGGGGAAGGGGAAGAGGAGGGGGGGGGAGGAGGTTGGCATGGGGAATGGGAGGGAGGGAGTTGGCTTGGCATGGGGAATGGGAGTTGGCATGGGAATGGGAGGGGAGGAGGGAGACTTGGCATGGGGAATGGAGAGGGAGAGGGGAATGGGGCATGAGGAATGGGAGGGGAAGGGGGTGGGGGCCTGGGGGAGGGGGAGGGAGAGACTTGGCATGGGGGGAATGGAGAATGGGGAATGGGGAGAGGGGGTTAGTTGGCATGGGAATTTTGGCTTTGGCCATGGGGAATGGAGGGACTTGGCTGGAGGAGGGAGGAGGGAAATATGGGGGGGGAGGAAGGGGAGACTGGCATGGGGAGGAGGGAGGAGTTGGCATATGGGCATGGGGGAGGAGGAGGGAGTTGGCATGGGGAAGGGGGAGGGGGGGGGGGGCCTGGCACTGAAGAGGAGAAGCAGAAATCAGGAAACTTTGTTGTATCGAGTTCTTGTATTCTTTTTGAGTGTTTTTCTGTGTTCCTTCCATCAATGGAATTGGCGTTCTCTCTTACGACTGTATGTTAGTTTTTTTTTTCAATTCATCTTTTTTTTTTAATTTGTAAGACCTATTATTTACCGGGGTTTCATATGGTTTCGATTGGCTTAATTGATCGGCGTTAATAACGACAGAAACAAGAAAAATTACCAACCGATTCCCGCTGATCTATCCATTCATTACCAACCTTTGTAATTTCGAAGCGCTTATATAGTTCAACACACGCAAGCTACACTGGCCCTTATTGCAGCTCCGGCCTCATGTTCTTCAGCCCGAAACGACCTATTGGTTCAGCTAGATAAATGGTATTTAGATTCACGTCATTGATCGTTAATGGCGGGAGGGCACGGGGGACGCAGCCGGGCCGCCATGTTGGTTTGGTCCTGAGCCCTCCAGATAATGTGGCTTCTTGACCCCTAAATTTACATACGCTTGGCCCGCCTGCTGGGATGATGACAGCTGGTTTGAATATACACCAAATTGATTTTTGGTGTGGTAAACGGTCTCTATTTTTCTTTATTTTCTGGTGTTTTAGTTTTATTTCGATGCGTTAGGGAGTTTGTCGGACGAAAATACGGCGCGTCTATTTTCTAACCTAATTGTAACGTCGGCGGGAAGTTCATATACTCTCAAATGCTGAATACATTATCAAAGTTAGAATCCCCGGTGCAAATAAACACAAAAAATATGTTACAAGTTTTTTTTTTAGTGCAAATAAACACAAAATATATGTTACAAGTTTTTTTTTTTTTTTTTTTTTACAAGACATCAGTTTCTACTTTGGAACGACGAGCCGAGCGAACAATGCCTTCGAGACTCGCCTTTGTTTGTCGTAATCGCAGGCAGAGAAGCAGTCAAGCATCCGGGAACTTTGTCGGGGTCGCGTGTAGTCTAGCGGCAGTATGTCGTCGAGATATCTGATATTCCGAGACATGTATGCCTGATGCAATATTTCCTGGCCATTTTTTTTTTCCTTTTTTGGTTTCCGGAAAAAAAGGAGATTTTGACGGTTCTTTTCTTTGAATTTTGGGTTGAGGGTTGGGTATGTTTTTCCTTTTTGGTTGCCGGAAAAAAAAGGAGATTTTGACGGTTCTTTTCTTGAATTTTGGTTGAGGTTGGGTATGAGGTCGTGTCCTATGAGTGTCTCAATCCAGCGGCCTTGTTTACGGGTTGGCAGCTGCTGATTGGTTAAAAGCTGCATCTTCAGAAATCGTTGATTGGGTAAAAGGGAATGTAGTGGGAACACTTTATTGCTTTACGGCGCCACGCGACGCACTCACACAATGTAGATACTGTAGGTATGTAGGTGGATATATATCTGTATCTATCTGTCTATCTATATATCTAACTGTATGTGGTGTGTGTGTGTGTGTGTGTATGTGTATGTGTATGTGTATGTGTATGTGTGCGTGTGTGTGTGGTGTGTGTGTGTTGTGTGTCTTTTATGTGTGTTTCTGTGTGTGTGTGTGTGTATGTGTGTGGTATGTGTCTGTGTGTATGCGTGTGTATGTCTGTGCGTATGTGTGTATAGATAGATAGATAGGTAGGTAGATAGAAGGATAGATAGACAAAAAGACATA